GTTAGGATTATGCAACATAGATTCTACAACACAGAATCGCATCTACAACACATCTAGAACATAGATTCAGAAAGGTTTATTTTAAATAATTTTTAAAATAACTTCTTAATGACTGGAATTAATTTACCTTTTATTCCCTCATTGTCCTGCTGCCCAGGATTGAAAAAACTGTGTTTTGAAAAATGTGTGTCTTGTTTAAGAAATCACAGGCTTTCTAGCTCTTTTGGACTGAATACCGATCTTAGGGCAAACGGTTGTACTATCAGTTCAAGGAAGCAAGGCTACTAGGTCTGGGACAGAAAATCAGATGTCAGCAAAGAATTAGAGGTTTTTAATTTCCATTGCTGCTGTCTGCTAGTCCAGATTTTTTACGCCCAAGATGCATCTCCCATGGCCAAAACTCTGTAGATGGGGAAGCAGCAAGATAAACTGTTATTCAATAAGGATCTATCTTTCTTTCTAAGAGAGACTGTATGAGTTACCCAGAGAATATAATAAGTTTGGAACAAAACTTTGCTCCAACAAAAGGCACTGGAGAAGCACAGAATTATGCAAGAGATTTAAGAGTTCCTGCTGGAAACTACATACCCAAGAAGGTGTATCTCTATTCTCTTTTACAGGTACAGTAAATTCTCATTATTTGTGGTAGTTATGTTCTATAAAATTGACGCAAATAGTGAATACAGTATTCAGATTCGTGAATACTGAACCAATGCTCCTAGGGAAATGTAGGGTTTGATTCGCACTAGCCTCTGGTCACAACATTTTCTTCAACTGATCAATACATAACCTTGTTTTATATGTGTTTCTGTTTAAAGACACCTTATTTAATGTGTATATATTTCTTACAAATAAAGTCCTGAACAAAAAATAAACAAAGATTAAGCAGGTAAAGTTTTATAAAAAAAATCTTAATTCTGATGACCATTTTAAGTAGCAAGATCACCGAAAGAAGGCAGATGTGCCCAGAGTGATGACTCAGAATTGTTGCTGCTCTGCGTATGTCTGCGAACAACCGTGAAAGCGTTGCGAGTGTCGATTTTGGAGTTACAAATCAACTTCAGCGAGGAAGCGAATTCGCAAATATGGAACCTGAGAATAACGAGGATTGCCTTTATAGTCAAACTCATCCTGTTTCTTGCCATGCGGTCATGATGGGGGTGGGGGTAATAATGAGGTTCCAGAGTTGATTTAACTCTCTAGGACCTCTCTAAAAGTGGCCACCAAATTTGAATTCTTAATACGGCAGAAGGGCAAAATACCTCATAAAAACATACTAGCCATTTAGAATGAAGTGAATTTAATTTTAATTAGATTTAAATTTAATCCAATTTAGCTTTTATCTTGAACTCACTTACTTTTTGCAATGCAGAAACTGATATGCCATTTGAAGAGCAGATGTCAATCTTGTGAGCTAGTCCAGACAAGAAGCACACCCAGGAACACTAGCTCTATCTTTATTGTAAGGTTACATTAACAGAATCTTGCAAGTCTGAAGGTACCCTCTCATCCTCTACTTTTAGTCTCCTGAAAACTAGGGAGAGTCCCTTCTGAGACACTTTCACCACCCATCCTCTTTTGGGTTAAAATTTCGTTTATCAGACCCTTGTCTAGGCTGAGGCTCTTCCTCCTGGTCATTCCCACATACCATTACAGCAAATTAGTCCTTGATGTCCCCCTCAAAGGTGCACATTTGGATTATAAATTAAAAAGTGTTAACAGTGGATTGAGTTAAAAGGAAAAAGAGAGAATCCATGATCCACCTAGTCAATGTGACTACTGTACTGCTTGTACAGTATTTCTCAGATGGGATGTTTGAGCCAGCCCACAAAATCATGCATTTATAAAAGATGGGGCCTCTCAGAGGTTATTAAGTGTGAAATTATTGGTTTCTATTATCCAGTGCAGTGTTCATGTTAACTGAATGCCCTGGGAAGTAAAAAGCCATGCATATAAGCTGAACACATCAGTTAAAATTAACATCCTCTCTGCACATTCTTTCATGGATCAGAGAAATGGCAGCCTGAAAAAGCTATATTAGGGCGCATCCAGGAGCATCTGTGGATAATGAAACAGTGGGAATTCACATTTTTATCTGAAACAGAGGCTTGAAGCTTCAAATTGCTGGCAGAGAGAGGGAGAAAAAGAAACCAGTCATAGTCATGGAGAGATAAAGTCTCATTAAAAGGTTTCAAGCTTCTGCACAATTGTGCTGGAGGAAAGCCTCACACTGACCCACTTCCTGGCTGCTATCCTAGGCCTCCCTCCTTCACTATTAGAACCATTTTATCATTTCTCTCTACCATGTTGAACTGAGGCCATGGCATCGCTCCGTCCATTCACCACAGAGATGAGCAAGTCATTTGGCTACAAAGTGCTCAGCTGCAAAGTGGTGGGCGGGGGGGGGGCATCTTGGACGAGGTAAGAGGGGAGAGGGCTCTTGAGCTTAAATGTCTGTAATTCCAACCCACCAGGATTAGTGATCGAGGTAAGGCTGCTCTAGTTCTTTGTCTCCTTTTAAAAGAGATTTCTAACCGGGCAAACGTTCATCCTGCTTTTTAAAATTAAAAATCGGTTTTAAAAGTTCTGCAGATCAGACTTGGGAAGATGGAAGTGGCATTCATTTTCTAAATCATACGAAATGGCCAGAAGATCAACTTTCTTCCTCTTTAAGTAAACAAAATAAAACAAAAACCAACCTGTAATGCCACCATGTTCCTTGAAGCACCGAGGTACCTTTCTCTGGAGCTTCCTGGAAGAGCCAGGTGTCCAATGTTTTTTTGATCTACAGAATCATGAATTGGAAGAGCCAGGGAGTTGGGAGAGGCTACCCCTGTTTACTGCAGGAATCCATTTTAAAGCATTCCTGATAGATGACTGTTCAGCCTTTTACTTGGTGAAATAAAGCTCACTATTTCTTTGCTTCATTGTTCCAGTGTCTTAACGTTAGGAACATTTTCCTAAATTTTTATCAGCATCTGTTCTTTGCAATTTCTGTCCTGAACTCTGAAGCTTGATCTTTTTCATAAAAGTGCTCTTACGTTATTTGAAGAGCGCTATGATATACACCTAACACCCCCAGTTTTCTAACCTCTACCTAGTTCCCTTGGTTTCTCTTTCAGTCCCATGACCTTGACCCTCTCTTTTGAACTTGCTCCATTTTCTTGGAATATTTTTAAAGTCCAATGCCAGTACTTGACGTGACATCTAACCAACAATGAGCACAATGCTACTTCCTGTACCTTGAAAAAAATATTATTCCATGGGGGCACTGGAAAATTGCACTTTGTGATCAATTAGGATTCCAATATTCCAATAACACACATTATTACCGAGCCAGGTACATCCCCATCCTGTGAAGCACATTTGATTTTAGTTTCCTATGTGAAAAACTTTGCATTTGAGTCTATTACATGCCGCTCTGTTTTTCGGCCTACCTTTCCAACTCATCAAGATAGTGTTTTCATTTTTTGTCTTCTGGAACAGTAGACATCCTACCCAAATAATCACATCATTAATGAGGCTCTTTCAGTTGGATGATTCCTCAGTGAGTGCTGGTTTGGAAGCCAGCTGTGGGTTTACCTAATAATTGTCCCATTCAGATTACTTAACTAGTTTGCTAATCAGAAAGTCTTCACATGATCGTTCCAGGAAATCCCAAGAAAGAAGTCTCTATTTTTCAGAGAGCCCAGAGTAGCACACCAAACTTTAAAAAAGTAATAAAAATAGAATAGATCCCCCTGGACACCACATATACTGAGAAAAGTAAACATAATCACTGCACTTTTTTTTTTCAAGAGGGAAAGTTAGATATACTTAATTCATCACCATGGAACTACTAACAGCAAAATACCCAAATCACCCCCAGGAGCATCTTTAGTGGAATTCTCTTTAATCCCTACTTCACCCATACCAACTACTTTTCTCCAAGCTGCCTGGAAAATATATACTTGCCACCATCACAGGACTGGTGGCTTGGGGGAGGAAACTGAAGGATGGAAGTACAGGTAGGGAATGATAAAACACTCCTTGCTTAGTTAGTTCATTTCTGCTGTGACTTGTAAGCTCATCTTAAAAATGGTTTTAATGAGATTTAGAATGCAGTAGCAGCTAGCCTGGGATCAAATAATAATACCAAAGAAACAGAACTCCATGCCCACCTGATCATAGTTCTAAGTCCACTCTCTCTAAGAACCCAAAACTACCAAATCAGCCATAAAATGTCAGAGGACTCACCACGGACATATACAATATATATGTCTCTGTCTATCCATCCAGTGTGGATGGGCTTAGGAGCCAAGGGGGCAGAAAGACTGTCCCCTTGGCTTAAGACTTCTAAATAAATAAAAGCCTTGACTCGATCCTGGCCATTTCTTTCTCTCCCGCTTTAGAAGCAAGTAGGGAACTATCATCTCAGAAGTGACTCATAAAATAGTTTAGTCTGAAATCCCATTGCATTCCAGATGGTTTATTTCTTAGTAAATTAGCTTTAAGAAGGCAGCCATATCACCAACAAAAATAATGCTAGCAATTTTTAGAAGGATAATATACATCACAAGGCAAATAAAGGCAGCTGCTTAATAAAGCACCCGGAAGGCAAACTTGAAGGCAAAACAGATAAAAGCCAATGAGCTAATTATTAGGGCTAATTAAGTAACTACAACTCATTGATTTCTATGGGAACTGAGCACACCTAGCTTCTTTAAGATTACATTTCTCTAAACCTTAACTTTATAAAGTTAAAAAATTGCATTTACATCACATACAGTGCCTTAATGCATGAAATGTCTGAGCACATAATGTCTTAGAGCTTATTCAATTATCTGCTTGCTAACCTGCTTCTATGGTGTATATCAACTCTGCATTCTCTCCTTTATCTCTGTCCAGGGCAGTGACCTGCAAAACTGCAGATCCAATGGCAGCTGATTCAAACACAGAGGCTTCATACAAAGGACTGGTGAAGTAGGGACTGTGATCATTGGTATCCTCCACATTTACAATGATCCTGGCCAAGTTACGTCGATAGGGGAACTCCTGGTCTCGAACCTGGAGGAAAGAAGAAATAATCTCTTGAGTAGGACACTGTGAGAGAATTTGTCATTCTTTTGCCCAAGTGGAATTTGGATTCGTTTTTAAGTTTGTATCTCTTGTTTTTCTTAAAATTCCTGATGTGCTCCAGGATATATGTAAATCATAGGACTCTTGTGCAAGTACTCAACTGATGTGTTAAAGATGTCCTGTTGCAGACTGAAGAGCTCTGGATACAGGAGAACATGGTCCTGTGAGCTGAAATACAAGTGAAGTGGCCTCCTAGTTTGAGGAGTGTTGTGTGGTTACACTCAGAAAGAACATTATCACTTCTCACCCTACCAGGTAAACAATGGTAGACAGCAGTTCCACCATCTATAGTCGGCCACTTCAAGGTGCTCATCATGTTCAGTTTCTGAGAATGCCCTTACACATCATCACTCCAGGGTATGATGAGAAATTTTAATTGGTAGGTGTCTTTTAATCACTAGAGTGAATCCAATTCCAGTAATGCTAATAACATTTCTTAGGGCTTCTGGCCCCAGAGATGAAATTCAATACGAGTTTGGAAATTCTTAAAAATCAAATTTGAAAAAAAGGTATTGTTCCATTAACACTCAGCACACACTTCACAGTGGGGCAATTCCTACCATGTAATTAGGCACCAGCAAATCAGTATCTTCTGCCTTTAGAGGATTCGGCAGAAATATGCGATAAAGCAGACCACTTGGCTTTCAAGAGCTGAGCACAGCAAGAAAAGTGATAATCGCTTTGTTAACAGCTTCCAAAAGAATTTTAAAATTCTGAAGAAACACTTTCAAAAAGTTACCTCTGATAAAAGGGCCCAGACACTGGGAGATGATGATGTTTCCACATGTTCGCCTTCAAGATGGTACAAGCAGTTTGTAAGATAAAAATCCTTCCTTCGTACTAAACCTTACAAAGCCTCCACAATGAATAAATGCATTGCCGTGCCAGGAAGAAAACTAATTACTGCTTCCTTACCAAATTTAAAGCCTTTTTGCTTATCAGAAGACTATAGCATGCACCTATTAAAGCTGGCAATAGTGTTGGAGAGCACAACACTATTAATATTCTGTGCTTACCATTACGTTGAGGATGTGCTTATCTTGAGCTTCATGGTCTAAGCGCTCAGCAGTATACAGCACTCCTGTGTTGGGATCCATCCTGAATTTCCGAATGCTGATGGAATCAAGGCTGCTGTGAATGATGTAGCTGAGCTTGTGCTTCTCATCTCTGTCCATAGCTTCTACTTGAAGGATCTCAGTGTCAGGTAGGATGTCCTCAGAAATCATTACATCATAGCTTGGATGGGAAAATTCTGGACCATTATCATTATTGTCCAAAACTTTGATTAATACCTTTAGTTAAGGATCAAAGGAAAAAAAAAAAAGAGAAGAGAGAACAATATATACAGACTCTTGTCAAAAAGACACATGATTGCATAAAAACAGTAGTTAATTATCAGATGTAGAGCTTCTGATGTACAGTATGTGTGAAAGTCACCTGTCTTTTCATACTTATCTACAACCGAAAAAGGTCTACTGAACTTAACTGTCCACTGAACCCATCACTATCCACATCTTCTATTCCTTCTTCCAAAAAGGTCTTGCACTGCTTCTATGGAAAGATTTGTGTGTGTATAGCCAAAAGAAAAGACAACTGACAATGGATGTGATATTATTCTTCAAATATCTGAAAGGGGATAGTCAATCAGAAAAGGGAAAAGACTTGAGAGCAAGGCTCAATTTGATGGGCTTAAGTTAGGTTAGATTTATGTCAAACATTAATCCTATTTACAGGGTATTTGTTATACTATGATTTTGCGCCTCAAAATAGCAGGAAACCATGGAATCATTTTAGACAATGGCTGACAGAGAGCTTTAAGAGGCAAAAAATTAAAGTCAAGGAGCTACACATGATCCTGAGTGGCATCTGGTGACCCACGGGTAAGGATCTCTCCTTTCTCCCTCCCTGAGTGGAAACCTTCATAAAAAGGCTGAACAGGCATCTGCTGAAGATGCTGCAGCGTCAGATTTCATTAATTAAACAGAGGGGTTAAACTAAGCAGACCATTTCCAATTCTTTGGCTCAATAAATCATATGCAAGATCATCATTCCAGATATTTTCTGGGAGAGCTCTAGTAGCTAGATAAAATCCAAAGGCCTGGCTTTCAACATTTTCCATCTAACTGATGGAAGCAGAAATTCTCCAACAATTTCTCAGGGGTAGGACTTAATGGTGACTGGAAAATCTCCACAGGAGCAGTTTTCTCCTGGTGCCTTCTCTTGGGATTTAACTTAAGAGTAGGAACCCAAGGAGCTGACACATCACCGGAAAATGAATGTACAACAAAGGATAGGAGATTCACCCACCCACCCCTTAACCATATAACGAGTACAGCATCACAATTGACCCATGAACACTTCTTCAGATTTTTCATGTCCTTTGAAAACGTTTCTGGGGCATTTTCTCTTTTATTGCACTATTAGGGGAAAATGGAGGATTTCTTTGTCTGCCACTACCTTGTTTATATCAACTAAAGAAGCTATTTGTCCTTTATTTCCAAGCAGAACAAGCCAGCAGGCTCTGTTGGTGAGATGTAAGTAGTCTATCCCCTACAACAGACAAGTGCAAGGAGAAGCAGGATAGCTATCTAAGAAGTTTCTTATGTGCTATTAGAGCACTATTTTATGAAAAGAGTTAGGCCTCCAAGAAACACAAAACATTAGCTTTTCATGACATTAGCAAAATTTCATGACCTCTGTTGAATATTTTATCAGAAAACACACAAACAATTGTCCCTTTCCTCCCCCAGTCTGCAATGATCCATCTTGGGAACAGTCTAGAAGGCAGTCATAATAAAACTCTCTTTAAGTTACGGTCGTTATATGTTACTTAAGAAGCTGAGGTAGCCTTAGGGAGGAGTTACTTTGTAAGGCTGGGGGAATGAAAGAAGTGATACTCAGATCTGTTAAAAGCTGAGTACAGCTATCCTGCAAAATCTATAATGCCAAAGCTGACAGTTTTTGCTTATTATTGCTTACTAAGAAAAATAACTGAAGTGTAATTTCTTGAAATTGAGAACGATGTTAGAGATTTCGCTTGCTTTCCCATAATAAGTTATCTTCCCTTCTACTTCTTCAAGGTGGTAAGGATTTTTTCCCCCAAAGAAACCCTGAATGGAGCAATGTTGAGTTACACATTGAATATAGTCCCTCTCTGTATGTAAAGGGAGTCATTTTTTAGTAGGCACCTTGTCATGGACCCATGTGTGTCCCCAAATGCAGCACCTACAGACTGTAATCTAAAAGCTGCAGACTATCATCTGAACGTTGTCAAAGGATTTGTGCACCCAAACATCATGGTTTATGCAAAAAAGAATGAGTAGCAGTGTTATGGCATAGGCTACTTAAAATCACACTGTGGGATTGGGCAAAGTCTCTCCCACAGCACAGAAATATTTTATATCAGAAAAAACGAAATATTTTATATCAGATATGAAGCCTACCATGGAAACCCCTGCAACCAAACCCTTATTTCTCTTTTGCTCTTTTGAATGGCATTGCTCGCATCCTTTCGAATTTTCTTCTTCTTGTATTTTGCAAGAAAGCAGATTTGCTATCATTGTATGGGAAAACAAACACCCCAACATATGTTCACTTTGGATTATTTGTTGTCCAAATATTAAATGAACTGGCAGTTTACTATACCATCCAAGATCATCACTTCGCTATATAATGACAACAACTGGAGTTGTGAACTCTCAGGGGCATGGCAAATGTTCCTCCAAGAGTAAACATTCTGATTCCCAAACAGATTGAAGAGCTTTCTTGGGTCTTAGTAAGGGCAGGCAATGAGATCTCAACATCAGATTAATGTAATGAGTTCTGCCAAGTACCAATGGTCTTTTGGGGAAGGGGGTGTGTGAATTCTTCATTGTGGAGTTTATACAAGGTTGGCCAGCACAGCACAATGTCTTTTATTAAAATTCCCCGAAGATTGAAGTCTGGAATCAAAGGCAATATGAAAGTCATGATTCCTGGAAAAAAGATTTTCTAAAAAAACACCTAGTCCCAGACTCACTGTATGCAAGGGTGAACACACACAGATACTCTATTTATCTGGAAGAAAAACTAGTTCCCTCCCACCTAATTATTTACCATTTTGAGGGCAAGGTAATTTTGATTCACTACATATTTGTTTGTTTATTCCTCACATTTACATTGTAATGCAGGCAGATTATTTTGGTTCCTTTTGATGTGTATGTGTACATGTGTGCGCACGCATGCCTGTCAAAGATACATATATATATGTGTGTGTGTGTGTGTGTGTGTGTATTTATTTATTTATTATGGTCAATGTCTGGTCCATAAAACACATTGCACTTAGAACACTAATACTGATTAGTTCATTAATTAGGTAAGCATATAAATCAAACTGCTTTGCATCTTACATATTGTATGACAAAGTTTGGTCACACTAAAAGAAACACAGCCATCTGAGTCTGAAAGTAAGATTTGTAAATAAAACTGACCAGAATGACCAGGGAATTTAGTTAAATGTGGGGTTAACAGTTCATGGTGACTGTCAGCATAAAATGAACAGAATAATAAAACATGTTTGATGGTTTCAGTGACTCCTTCTCTGCATGGAGACAGTCTGGATTTGAATGGGATGCCCTCATATCTCCATTCTAAAACCGCTGATGGGAGTGTATTGAAACATGCCAAAGTTAAAGCTCTCCTTAGTTTGGGGAGAGTAATTTGGTTTAGATGTCTGGCAGGTCTGAAAGGAGTGTGAGAACTACTTAGGAATATGTCTTTAGGGAGGGACATCAGAACTCACTGGATAGTGATGTCCTTAAGGTGTTGCTTAAATGCTTCATGTGCTTTGTTGTTGTTGTTGTTCAGTTGTTAAGTCGTGTCCAACTCTTCATGACCCCATGAACCA